TTCAATAAAGATACTATGGTTCAGTGCTGGGGTCAGCAAGCAAGCATGCACTATAGATGGTGTATACAGACCACCCCCAAATCAAGTCAAATGTTATTTATTTTAAATAGTATACAGTATTTGCGTGAATCAAAACTAAATATTGTAATCAGCCAGTTCTAGAAGGATGAAGTTGGGAAAGGCTGCTCTGTTGTTCCTTTCTATCTTCTGGGAAGTGTTGGAAGTAACTTCTAAATAGGTTGTACTCCTAAGAACTTGGATCCTTTGGGGGTCAGCATTTGATCTACTACAAGTTCACATTCACACAGCCATCAGATGCAGGTAGACTTTAGGAAGCCAGGCATTGAAACAGGCTCAGTATTAGCCAGCATCGCTCACCAGACTCCCCATCTTTTTAACTGTTGATAATGGCTTAGCCCTTCCGTTTGCAGGCCTGGATCAGACAGTGGCCACCAGCAGAATGCATGAACAAAAGGAGAACAGTTTTATTCCTTTTCCTTTTTTTCCGGGGGGAGGGGTAAATATGTCAAGCTGGGTTTTGCTAAGTCTCTCATTGATGGGAGTACATCAGCTTCAGTCAGTCCAATGTGAATATTTTCGTTCACATTACATTCTGTAGGGAATTTGATGCATATTTTAATTCATTTATTTACTTGCTGGTTTTCAGACTGCTGTAGTCATAATACTGTAGACTCTGAGCAGCAGACATACCCAATATAACAACTGGATAAAAAGAAAGGGATAAAAAGATATAGTCCCTAATACCCCAGACTCCAACAGCACAACTTACATCCAGACATTCCCCAGCTAGGAGGAACAAGATGTAGTATAGTATCTAGTATCTTTATTGAATGAACTACTTTTAAGTCATAAGCCATGATTAACAAACCATAATGCTTGGGTTCATTCATACTGTATCAAATCCGGAAAGCACAATAAAGAAGCTGGATCTTATTGGCTTTATGAAAATGTAGGAGCATGGGGGTGAATGCATTTTCTTTGCAATTTTTCCTAATATATACAGTTATGCAACCAATTTTTTCCTCATGTAATGTGTTGTTGAATTTTCATTAGCAAACTGCATTGCAAAATTCAGAGAAGTGTCCATTCTGAATGGGTTCTATGTTTCAGTTTGTATATTAGTTTGAAAATGCAAAGTTGCATAAATTGGCATTCAAATGAGAGCAAATTAATTTCTTTCCCAGACCTAGTTTGCCGTGCGTTTCTCCTTCCTGTCTGCGGGCCCTGTCCTAGTATAGATGTCCAGGCTTGAACTGACTCGCTGTCTATGAAATCCCGTGTTAGATGGTGGACTGCTGCTGTCCCCATGACAACGTATTACTGGGGAAGAGATATTGGCTGCATTCACACAACGTTATGTCACTCCACTGCATTTAACAAGCATTTGTACCCTGATCTCTTTCACACACACATGTACTCACACTTGTGCGTGGCTCATTAACCAGAGCTAGTGGCTTACTTGAGACCACTTGTCCCATATCAACTGTAGCAGTCAACGTGGTTGGTTGGTGGAAGGTAGGATTTTGGAAACAGATTCTGCAAAATGCCACTCTGGGTTTGCATGATACTTGTGGCCTCAGGAAAGCTTCCAACCTGGGTCATGAGCCACCCAAGAGAGGAAAGGGGGAGGAGGCAGTGGGTGTGGGGTGGCTGAGTCTTTACAGAGACCTAGCTTGACATGTGAATGCAATCCTTTATTAGAAAGATATGTACAATTGCAACACGTGTATGTAACAGTGAATACTGGGTTAAGAACACCTGGTTTAAGGATGACCCATAGTTAAGAACAGAGCCTGTTGTAGCAAGATTCGAGTTAGATACACAATGTTTTGAGTTAATTACACAATACTACTTATACAGTATTATATAATAATACTGTTCCGGCTTACATACAAATTTGACTTAAGGACAGACCTTGGGAACGGAACTCGTATTTAAACTGGGGATTACCTGTATAGTAGACAGTTAAAACAGGGATTAGCCATTGGCTTTCAGGTTGTCTTTACACCAGGTGGAGGTTTCTTGCCTTATTTATTTATTTGTTTATTATAAGTGATAAATTTAAGAAACTGCTCATAGCGGCACGATTGAATCTGAATCACATTTTTTTACTTCAATTTCCAGAGAAGAGGATGTCTGAAACCTCCACAGGACCACACAGTGCTATATATAGTGTGCAGTAATAGCTGCACCTTTTAGATAAGTGTGAATTAGGAGTTGCTTTTGCTTTGTGGGTGAAAAATGGAGAGATAGGATCAAAGAAGGCCTCTTCCTGTGTGACAACTCAAGCATCTGCTTGTAAGATTTTCATGCAGAACTGGAGCTCCAGAACCTCTTCTAAAGTGCTTCCAAAACAATGAATGAGCTCTTGAAAGGGTGGTGATGGACTTCGGTGGATATGAAACTGCTAAATCAATTATCTATCTAGCCAGCACTAGCAACTTCCCAAGACCTCAGACTGAGCTCTTTTTAAGACCTATCCCCAAGGCTCAGTTGAAGTGCTGTTCACATATCTGTGAGTTGGCAAAAAACTATACCAACTTGAAGTCTGCTGTCCTCATTGCTCATCCCAGTCCTGCTTCTGTAGCCTCGGTTCTGGCTTGCTACTGGTATGGTAGTCCTCATTTCAGCTGTGCAAAGTGTGCTAGGGAAAGCCATTGGTTAAATCCACTGGTTTTGCTGCCATCACCCTTTCTGAATGTCAGTAGGAAACCATCTGCCAATTGTAGCCCTGCTGTGATTGGAGGATGGTTTTGACAAATAGGTAGATCCATGGATTTAGTTGTCAGTCAAAACCTGTACCTCCCCAAGCTTGCTGATCAGCAGGCAGGGAAGTACTTGATGAAGAAAAGAACCAGACCTTCCAAACCCATTACTTCCCAAAACCTGGATAAGCAGTCCATCTCAGCTGGGGTTCAGCAGAAACCCAGTGAATTCAGTTCTCCAGCAGAAGTGGTGGTAGGCCATTTTCTCCTTGGTGAACATTCCTACTTCATGCTGCCTTCTGGCTTCTGGCCTCTCTTCCATCCATGCAGAGCTACCATATTTTCATGCTGACATTTCTCTGATGTTTCAATAGTGGAAGAATGGAACCTTGTCAGCTTTGTAGCTTAACTCTGATGGTGATGGCCAAATAAAACAGACCATGAATGGGTGGGAGGGTGGAGTAATGGCTGGATGCAGATTTTCATACTCAACTTTTGATTAGCAGGGAGTGGTGCGGGTGATCTCATGTGCTGTTCTTGTCTTTCAACATTGGTCCTAGTGAGGACAACCATGGCTTGATCTAAAAACATTTTGAGGGTTTGGAGAACACAACTTATGGCAGTGTAGAAAGATCTGAATCCTCGGGGGGGCAGGGGTTCTAGTCCTGACTGCTTTTTCTATACTGACCGACTCAAGATAGTATATTTTAAAGTTGTGTTTGATAGTGAGAGGGCAAGTAATTTCACTTAGATCAGCATTTCTTTTCCCACAACTGAGCCCATGTTGTCAGTGATTTTCCATTCTCACTGAAAAATAACATGAAAAGAAATCCCTTTCTGATGATTTTATGAGCTCTCTGGTATATATTTTAAATAACTACTGCCCACGCTGACTTAACCTGTCAGACAAAGTCTCTTCGTATGCTTGAAAAGATTCCTAAATTAGTAGGTGTCTTTCTTAAATATTCACTGTGGGTTTATGATATATGAATGTGTAGGAAGCAGAAGTTTAGGGTCTTTATCTCTTCAGAAAAGAGCAGATATGATCAGGGTTTTTTTTTTTTTCAAATACCAGCCTCTTCTTTCCTCCAGATTCATAAGAAAGGCTAAGCCAACAGAGAAGAAAATTTTCTAAATAAGAACCCTGTACTTTGGGGGGCAAATCTCATAAAATAATAATAATTATTAATATTATTTTAAAAAACAACTTTGTGGCCTGTTTTTTGCAGATTTCCACTGAAATCATGTGAAATGTATAGGTTTTGTACTATAGTATCAGACTTGCCATATTTCAGAGTGAAAAAAAGTCTTACCTCTTAAAAGCAACAATTTGATTTTGTTGAAAATCTAGGTGTATTTTCCATCTAAATTGCATTATATTGTCACACGTTGTACTCTTCCTCTAAAAGATCATGACTGGATTCACTCAATATGCTTTGGTTGAATGAACCATGGTTTAGGCAATTAAATCATGGCTCAGTTAATTGCGGGTTAGTGTGTTGAGCAAACAGAGCCCAAACAAGGTTTACTTACTGGTGATTTGGTTTGTTGTGCAAATCCCAAACTGTGGTTTATATGATAAGTGAACCCAGCCAATAATGATTCATTCAATATACTGTGTTAAGCAAACTCAGTAATTTCTCTTTACATACCATTGGTGCAACTTAAAAAAACAAAACTATTTTAAATGTTGATTGAAGCAGAATGAAGTAACTATTTCCAAAGAACACGGTGGGGGCCTTTGGTGGGGGCCTTTTATTTGTCCCTCCCAAATTTTACTCCAGCTGTTCTGGTTGTTTGAAGGAAAGAGCTGAATTTGCTTCTCAGCCTGCCTGCCTCCATAGTATGATGGAGAATGCAGTCCTGTTAGGGTAAGAAGTCACTGGGGCAGTTTCTCAGCCTTGGCCACTTGAAGATGTGTGAACTTCAACTCCCAGAATTCATGGCTGGCTGAGGAATTCTGGGAGTTGAGGTCCACACATCTTCAAGTGGCCAAGGTTAAGAAACACTGCATTGGGGACTTGGCTCCAGGTAGCAAGATGGCCAGGGCTGATCTTAGGAAGCCTGCCAATTGACTGGAGGGAGGAGAAAAATATTTCTCTTTCCTGCTGTTAAGTCATTAGCAAGAAGATGATTATCATGGAGGAATCATGCCTTACTGTGCCATGAAAAGCTTTGCCTTCTAATTTATGCAGACTATGCTATGGTTACATTTACACAGAACAAGCTCTGTTGAAAAGAAAAAAAAATTATTTATTCTTCTTCATTCTACAGGCCCCTCACCATCTCTGGGGTATAACGTCGATCCTTCTCCAGCATTCCTGTTCTCATTGAACCACAGCAAGCAGTTTGGGTATCAGGTCCTCCAACTTGGAAAAGGCTCTGAAGCAAGGTAGCCCACCATCCTCGTCACTCAGATTCAGTGTACTGCAGTCTAAGCATTTGGGGAGAATTGTGCCCATTGGAAGAATCTTTCTAGTTGGGATCCTTCTAATTATGGGCGGGGGGGGGAGTAGAGTTGGCCTCCTAGTCAAGATTTTAATGCTTTAACAGCTATTAAACATTCTGAATGTAAAGAAGGGAAACCCACACTGAGGTGTGTTTGCAAAATTAGCAAGAGCAAGAGCACACGGTTGGAGGAAGGACAAAATATGTAGAGTGTTAATTACAGGGGCCAAAGATGCTCTACATTGGAAGTAGAGGTGGTTGAAGATAAGAAGGTCACCAAGTTAATAAATTATACTCACACTGCCTCTTTTGATTCTTTAGAGGTGTGCTTGTACCAGTAAAGTCACCGTAATTCAGTATATAAGTTGAGCCCTGACCTTGTAAGAGAAGAGAAGCGATTGCTTGTCTCTCCTGATAAACTTATAGATCAGTAAAAATGGCTCTAATGTTTGTCCACATAAAATTTAAAGGGTCTGCCCCCTATGCAGAGTCCCAGGACCACTGCAAACCACGGTTTGACAAGGAAGCTATTTGAACATGGCAAAGACAGATGCATTTTCAGATCATATCTCCCTTGCTCTGAGGTTGTCAGAGCCATGGTTGCCAAGTCCATGGTTGCCATGGAGACCATGAATTCATGGGCTACTTAGGTACCCTCTCCCAGGCCATGGAGGGTGAAGACCAGAAGCCGCAGGAACTCCAACACCAGCCCCAAAAGGAGAGCCAAGAACCTGTGCAGGGTCACCATCGGGCAGTTAAGCAGCAGCTATAGCTTGTCAGTACAGCCCACCTCCACCCACAGGTGCCCACAGCCAGTCATCTTCAGGGCAGTGCTCCTCATCATGGCTTCTGTAGGACCTAAAATATGGTCAGATAGATTTCCAAGAAAGTTATATCCCCATTGCTGCTCAGCCAGGTCTCAATAATGAGAGCCAGTCTAGTGTCATGGTTAAGGTGCTCGCATATAAACCAGGAGACAGAGTTCTAGGCCTCCCTCAAGTATGAAAGCCGGCTGCGTGACTTTGGACCAGTCACTTTCTCTCAGCCCACCTCACAGGGCTGTTGCTGTGGGGAAAATAGGAGGCAGGAATATTAGTTATGTTTGCCGCCTTGAGTTGTCCAAATATTAAAAAACATAATAATAACAACAGCTCAAAATGCCATGAAACAACAACATCTGCCTATCCCAGGTCCTTGGGAAGGACTTGATAGGTAGATAAAAATGCCAAATCCAGTCTAAACATCTGGCTGACTGTGCAACCAACTGTAATAATAGTTCAGTAGTAGCTCAGATTGTAAACTTGCTTTGCCTGCCAGAACTGGTAGGACCACAAAACAGACAAAGTAATAGAAAATGAAGAAGCTAAAGTGCTCTGGGACTAAGGACTTGATAGGTAGATAAAAATGCCAAATCCAGTCTAAACATCTGGCTGACTGTGCAACCAACTGTAATAATAGTTCAGTAGTAGCTCAGATTGTAAACTTGCTTTGCCTGCCAGAACTGGTAGGACCACA